TCAAAGTCATTTACTGTATTCTATGACTATTTATACCTTACATATATGCAAATCCACCTAATCCTCTGACTATTGTTCTTCAGCTTAAGTGTTTCACTTCTAGATTCTATTTTCAAGGTTAGTGAATAAGACAACAGAAATTTAATTTCGAAAATAAGTATCAGCCCACACACATACATACACACAGAACATACATAAGAGTGTGCATCCCAAATCAGTTGGTTGGGAATTAAGCATCGTTGCTTCCTGTTCAATACTTTCATGTGATGATAACAGAATCTGAACAAATATAAAGCAGTTGCTTCCATTGCTGTTTTAAATCAGGAATTAATTTGTTCAGATAAAACTAATGCAAAAAGTTATAACCTGAGCATAGTTTTGCTTTCTGATTCTTGAAGATAATCACTTCAGAAAAAATAACAGAAATTTAGAGGTATATTATCTTACTTGTAATGCACACATTGCAAGGGGGAAAAGTGCTAAGAGTATGAATACTTCTTCTCAAGTCATTAATCATTGATATATCCCAAAGTGAGGATATAATTACAGACTCTCCAGTAATATTAGTCCACCCTCAAATCTTCAAAACAAAAGTTACCAAATACTAAATAAACCAAAGGACCACAAAAAGTAAATCTCACTCACAATACAGTCTATACCACAGAGGTGTTGTACTTCTACAGAGACAGAGATTATATATGAAATGGAAAAGTTAATGAAATAATCACAGTTTTTGGAAGTCTAGCATTAAACCTGATATAAACAAATAAAGTGTTACAGTACGTAAGAAGACAAATGTACTTGAACTAGTGAAGAAAGTCTGCAAAAATGTTGCTCATTTGCTATCACTTCCTAAAAATAAAAGTGCCATATGTGTGGTTAGGTTTTGATTGGTAAAGAGTTCTTTTGGCTATGTCAATTAAACAAGCATATTCATGGATGTGTATAAAAGGCATTTGCCCTTAAAAGCATTTAATTTAAAATCATTAAAATTCTTTTGCCTAGGATCATACAATATTTGTCAATATGCATCATAAACTATGTGAATGGATAATTAAATACATTACCCTAGCCATTATTGTTTAGGCCTTGACAACAATTTCTGATTTAAAAAAATATATTAATCTCAATCTCAATCTCAATCTCAATCTCAATCTCAATCTCAATCTCAATCTCATCTCAATCTCAATCTCAATCTCATCTCAATCTCAATCTCAATCTCATCTCAATCTCAATCTCATCTCAATCTCAATCTCATCTCAATCTCAATCTCAATCTCAATCTCAATCTCAATCTCAATCTCAATCTCAATCTCATCTCAATCTCAATCTCAATCTCAATCTCAATCTCAATCTCAATCTCAATCTCAATCTCAATCTCAATCTCAATCTCAATCTCAATCTCAATCTCAATCTCAATCTCAATCTCAATCTCAATCTCAATCTCAATCTCAATCTCAATCTCATCTCAATCTCAATCTCAATCTCAATCTCAATCTCAATCTCAATCTCATCTCAATCTCAATCTCAATCTCAATCTCAATCTCAATCTCAATCTCAATCTCAATCTCAATCTCAATCTCAATCTCATCTCAATCTCAATCTCAATCTCAATCTCAATCTCATCTCAATCTCAATCTCAATCTCATCTCAATCTCAATCTCAATCTCAATCTCAATCTCAATCTCAATCTCAATCTCAATCTCAATCTCAATCTCAATCTCAATCTCAATCTCAATCTCAATCTCAATCTCAATCTCAATCTCAATCTCAATCTCAATCTCAATCTCAATCTCAATCTCAATCTCAATCTCAATCTCAATCTCATCTCAATCTCAATCTCAATCTCAATCTCAATCTCAATCTCATCTCAATCTCAATCTCAATCTCAATCTCAATCTCAATCTCAATCTCAATCTCAATCTCAATCTCAATCTCAATCTCAATCTCAATCTCAATCTCAATCTCAATCTCATCTCAATCTCAATCTCAATCTCAATCTCAATCTCAATCTCAATCTCAATCTCAATCTCAATCTCAATCTCAATCTCAATCTCAATCTCAATCTCAATCTCAATCTCAATCTCAATCTCAATCTCAATCTCAATCTCAATCTCAATCTCAATCTCAATCTCATCTCAATCTCAATCTCAATCTCAATCTCAATCTCAATCTCAATCTCAATCTCAATCTCAATCTCAATCTCAATCTCAATCTCAATCTCAATCTCAATCTCAATCTCAATCTCAATCTCAATCTCATCTCAATCTCAATCTCAATCTCATCTCAATCTCAATCTCAATCTCAATCTCAATCTCATCTCAATCTCAATCTCATCTCAATCTCAATCTCAATCTCAATCTCAATCTCAATCTCAATCTCAATCTCAATCTCAATCTCAATCTCAATCTCATCTCAATCTCAATCTCATCTCAATCTCAATCTCATCTCAATCTCAATCTCAATCTCAATCTCAATCTCAATCTCAATCTCAATCTCAATCTCAATCTCAATCTCAATCTCATCTCAATCTCAATCTCAATCTCAATCTCATCTCAATCTCAATCTCAATCTCAATCTCAATCTCAATCTCAATCTCATCTCAATCTCAATCTCAATCTCAATCTCATCTCAATCTCAATCTCAATCTCAATCTCAATCTCAATCTCAATCTCAATCTCAATCTCAATCTCAATCTCAATCTCAATCTCAATCTCAATCTCAATCTCAATCTCAATCTCAATCTCAATCTCAATCTCAATCTCATCTCAATCTCAATCTCAATCTCAATCTCAATCTCAATCTCAATCTCAATCTCAATCTCAATCTCAATCTCAATCTCAATCTCAATCTCAATCTCAATCTCATCTCAATCTCAATCTCATCTCAATCTCAATCTCAATCTCAATCTCAATCTCAATCTCAATCTCAATCTCAATCTCAATCTCAATCTCATCTCAATCTCAATCTCATCTCAATCTCAATCTCATCTCAATCTCAATCTCAATCTCATCTCAATCTCAATCTCAATCTCAATCTCAATCTCAATCTCAATCTCAATCTCATCTCAATCTCAATCTCAATCTCAATCTCAATCTCAATCTCAATCTCATCTCAATCTCAATCTCAATCTCAATCTCAATCTCAATCTCAATCTCAATCTCAATCTCAATCTCAATCTCAATCTCAATCTCAATCTCAATCTCAATCTCAATCTCAATCTCAATCTCAATCTCAATCTCATCTCAATCTCAATCTCAATCTCAATCTCATCTCAATCTCAATCTCAATCTCAATCTCAATCTATATCTATATCTATATCTATATCTATATCTATATCTATATCTATATCTATATCTATATCTATATCTATATCTATATCTATATCTATATCTATATCTATATCTATATCTATATCTATATCTATATCTATATCTATATCTATATCTATATCTATATCTATATCTATATCTATATCTATATCTATATCTATATCTATATCTATATCTATATCTATATCTATATCTATATCTATATCTATATCTATATCTATATCTATATCTATATCTATATCTATATCTATATCTATATCTATATCTATATCTATATCTATATCTATATCTATATCTATATCTATATCTATATCTATATCTATATCTATATCTATATCTATATCTATATCTATATCTATATCTATATCTATATCTATATCTATATCTATATCTATATCTATATCTATATCTATATCTATATCTATATCTATATCTATATCTATATCTATATCTATATCTATATCTATATCTATATCTATATCTATATCTATATCTATATCTATATCTATATCTATATCTATATCTATATCTATATCTATATCTATATCTATATCTATATCTATATCTATATCTATATCTATATCTATATCTATATCTATATCTATATCTATATCTATATCTATATCTATATCTATATCTATATCTATATCTATATCTATATCTATATCTATATCTATATCTATATCTATATCTATATCTATATCTATATCTATATCTATATCTATATCTATATCTATATCTATATCTATATCTATATCTATATCTATATCTATATCTATATCTATATCTATATCTATATCTATATCTATATCTATATCTATATCTATATCTATATCTATATCTATATCTATATCTATATCTATATCTATATCTATATCTATATCTATATCTATATCTATATCTATATCTATATCTATATCTATATCTATATCTATATCTATATCTATATCTATATCTATATCTATATCTATATCTATATCTATATCTATATCTATATCTATATCTATATCTATATCTATATCTATATCTATATCTATATCTATATCTATATCTATATCTATATCTATATCTATATCTATATCTATATCTATATCTATATCTATATCTATATCTATATCTATATCTATATCTATATCTATATCTATATCTATATCTATATCTATATCTATATCTATATCTATATCTATATCTATATCTATATCTATATCTATATCTATATCTATATCTATATCTATATCTATATCTTTATCTTTATATATCTATATCTATATCTATATCTATATCTATATCTTTATCTAAATCTGTATATATCTAGTCCGCTAGCTAGATAGCTTTACATGGAACTGTGGGAGCTAGTGAACATAAAGTATACATCCTAATTTTCCTGTGTATGTGCATGTGGACACTTTTTTTTTTTTTTTTTTTTCACCTATATTCATCCACTGATACCCAGAAAGCATGAATACTTGTACTGTCCATTATGTTTGGGTGTGAATATTATTTTTTACCCATTGATAGCTCCACAACTGATTAATCACCAATAAGTTGCTGATTCTTGTCAAACTGATATTTAGGAAACAATTTGTATTTTCATCATTATCAGTAGTGTTTTTAATGCTGTTATTGTAATAATAATAATAATAATAATAATAATAATAATAATAATAATAATAATATTTATAATTATAATAATAATTAATTCAAGGACTAAGATATGAGGTCAGACTGGCTTAGTTACCGACTCTTTAGAAAAGAAGATATTATGTGTTTTTGTGTGTAAGACTTAATAAAACAAACGATAGTTGACAGTGCATGTAGGGCAAAGTGCAAAAAGGAAATAAAAGCGTCTTCAGAAAACTTCCTTAAAAAATCCCTTTCTCCATGACAGAAACCTTCCTTAAAAAATCCCTTTCTCCATGATCTTGCAAGCAGGAAACCTATACAAGCAGCGTACACAAAACAAAACACAAACATGCATTTGCAGAAGAATAAGGCTGACTCACCCTTCCTAAGAGTCTCCGCTGATGGTCATCATGAAAGCAGATTATGAAGAAATTAGATCAGGGAAGGCATAAAATAAAGTCTATACTCATGCTATTTAATGACACACGACAACTGTAACTCACCCTTCGCTTTCTCAAAATGCAATTAAAAGCTATCTGAGCCAGATCATTAAAGTTAATATTCTAGCAAAGCACCCAGATTTTCCCCATCATTCACTTACATACACTGCTAAAATAGTCAGTTATACACTACCTCAGATATCTTTTTCTACATACACCTGTACATCTAATGTCAACTATAGAATATTATTCATATATCAAATGCAAGTATCCTGTTGCCACTGATCTATACAGGTTTGTTTTTGTTACAACATAAAACTTCAAACAAACATATACACATCTAACTACAGAGGAGTTAAATTACCATGTTATGCAACAACAATCTTTCCATTTTATGATTTACCTTCTGTGCTGATTGCTCCCTGGCTCTCATTCGCAACTTCAACGGTTGCATGATATTCTGTGAGGTGGTCCACAAGATCGGAGCATTTGTAGAAAATATTCTGACAGTGGAATGGGCACACAAGGAAATTGAGCTGGAAAAAAAGGAGATAGGTGATATCTTCAAGGTGCTGACAAAACTCACTCTTTTCTAATGCGTACATTTATACCAATATTCACCTTCAAAATATAATGACAAAAATTATTAACATACTCAGGAAAACGTGATGATTTATGTTGTTCAGAATATACATTCAGAATATGTAATATACTAAATATCTGTCTGGTAGACTGGCAGATCAAAAGGAAGGAAGGAAGGTTGGATGGATGGATGGATGGATGGATGGATGGATGGATGGATGGATGGATGGATGGATGGATGGATGGATGGATGGATAGATAGATGGAAGTGTGTGAGAGAGAGAGAGAGAGTGTGTGTGTGTGTGTGTGTGTGTGTGTGTGTGTGTGTGTGTGTGTGTGTGTGTGTGTGTGTGTGTGTGTGTGTGTGTGTGTGTGTGTGTGTGTGTGTGTGTGTGTGTGTGTGTGTTTTTCCTCTGTGTGTGTGTGTGTGTGTGTGTGTGTGTGTGTGTGTGTGTGTGTGTGTGTGTGTGTGTGTGTGTGTGTGTGTGTGTGTGTGTGTGTGTGTGTGTGTGTGTTTTTCCTGTGTGTGCGAGCATGAGTATATGCAATGCCTGTGCATGAGTGTAAGCACATGTGTGTGTATGCAAGTGTAAAAAAAAGAGTATATACATACCTTGGGGTGTAGTGTTGTTAGATGCATACTGAATAATTCCCGGGACTGTGTAACAAAAGTGCAGCCTGAAGCAATGCATTTATAAGGTCCATGAGCAGAGATGATGTGGTTAATGAGATCTGTATGCTTGACGCTGGTATATCCACAATTGGTGACTGCACATCTAAATATCTTTGCTGATGGCGGTGTGTC